GGCTGCTTGGAAGGCAACCATGCTAACCGTTACACCACCGACGCTTGCTTCAACTTATGCTAAGGTATACGATCTTTTGGACTAGATCTCTACTAATAACTTTCTTTCCTTTCGGCAAGAGTATACGCGACAAAAACTAAATAATATTCTTTGTTATTTAAGATAGTTAGATATTTTATTGACGGCACTTTTATATATATCAGGTAGATGGAATCCAAAAGAACAATTTAAAAGCTTTTTTTGTTCAATGTTTTTCGAAACCTTAAAAATATCATAATGTTTCATATACTTCAATTCTTCATATATGGTTGCGTAACATATTTCACTTTAATCCGAGTCGATATAGTGTTATTTATAATACAAACCAAAGATTTTTATTACGTCTTTTTATTTTCTTCAGTTATATTCAAAACTTAAAGATATTGTTTAATAGATTATCATAAAGCAAAGACAACGCCTTTCATTTAAATACATAATAATTGACAATAGATATATGTGTATAAAATACCGAAAGATTTCGAAAGAATATTTATGATATTGTTTATTTTCTTCAAATGACCTGATTGATTAACTAAATTGTCATATTTTGAATACTATAATCAGTTTCGTTTATTTCTATCGATAATTACTTGACTATCAATATTTTCACCAAATCATATAGTTTGTATTATTCTTCGTCGATTACATTTTTGTATATATATGAATGCCAACGTAAAATTATTTCAGTTACTTCTGACATCTATGTTCTTTTTTTTGAAACAACTCATTGAAACATATCTAAATAAAAAGTTAATATTTAAATCTAATTATTACTTCTATATTATTTGTATTTTAAATCCTTTTGTTCTACAATACTCATTCATTCTATCATATCACCAAGACAACATACATTCGTTATGAACACTGAATGAACGATCATAACCTTTCCACGTTTGTACGCATTCTATACAATTTCAAAATACACGTGTCCTATTTCATTGCATAGCTTTTTTTTAATTTTAATAATAATAAACATGTTAACACAATTGAATCGATCCGAACCTGCATTACATATAAATGAAATCGATGTTAATGATAAATATAAATTTCTTAAACAAATTGGTAAAGGTAGTTACGGTGAAGTATGGTCAGTTTTGCCATTACGTTATTCATTATCAACAAAATCAAAAACCAAAGAATATGTACTTAAACGATTAGATCTTCGACAACAATCCAATGATACAACACAAAATGATATTGAAGGTGCTGAACGTGAAGCAAAATTATTATCAACATTAAAACATCCAAATATTGTTGCATATATTGAATCATTTCGTTCAAATGATGGTTTTCTTAATATAGTTATGGCTTATTGTGAAGGTGGAGATTTATATACAAAATTAAAAGAACGAAAAGCTAGTCAACAACCATTAACTGAAAATCAAATTATTGAATGGTTTGTACAAATATGTATGGCTATACAAGTAAGAAACAAACAAATAGAAAATTGTTTAAAGTATTATTTTTCTATTTAGTATATGCATGATAAAAGTATTCTTCATCGAGATTTAAAAACTCAAAATGTTTTTTTAACAAAAAATGAAATTGTTAAAGTTGGAGATTTAGGTATTGCAAGAGTATTAGATTCAGGAAATGATTTAGCAACAACAATTATTGGAACACCATATTATATGAGTCCAGAAATATTTTCAAATAAACCATATGGACAAAAAGTATGATGAAGATTTTTGAAAATAGAATTCTTATTGTTTTTCTTCTTAGTCGGATATATGGGCACTTGGTTGTTGTGTTTTTGAAATGACAACACTTGAACATGCATTTAATGCAAAAGATATGAATTCATTAGTATTGAAAATAATTCGTGGACAAGTTAGTTTATATTTATTTTTTGTTATTTATTCAATAATAATAATATTTAGATTCCACAAACATCAAAAAAATATAGTGATTCATTAACAGCTATTATTAAATCTATGCTTAGTAAAAATCCTAATGATCGTCCAACAGCGAAAAAAATCTTACAAAATCCATATATTAAACGACATATTATGCAGTTATTAGAAAAAACAAAAGTCAAGTAAGAATTAAATTATAAACAATAGTGTTTGTCTAATACATTTGTATAATATTTTTTAAAAAATATCGTTCAATTAAAATAGTATAAATAGAAATAGGCAATCAGATTTTTGTGAGGAAAAATTATATGTCAATTAAGTATGCACTATTCCTATAAAGTCGATGACAAACATGAATAATTTTTGTTTCGTAAAACACCCAGTGTTTACCAGTCCTTCAAGTCATTTAAACCCACTATCGATCAGGCTATACAAATAAAACTAAAAACTTCCGATTTTTTACTAGTCACCTCCAGTCCTGTTTTTCTTCCTGTGTAATTCTTTAAAGTTTGACAATAGCGTTGTATAGTGTGATCGATAGTGAGTTTAAATGACTTAGAGGACTGGTAAAGATTGAATGTTTTGTATAGCAAAATGACTCGTTTATAGGACTAGTACATGTCTAATGATAACTAAATACTGAAAATAATTAACTAATGATGAAAATCTACGAAACATGATATATAAATTTTTATATTTTTTAAACTTGGTATAATTGAATTAACTTTTCTTTATCATAGATGTCAAAATCAAGTTAATACAAATTCTCAAGTATCAGTTGATACTTCCTCCGAACAATCAGTACTTTCATCTTCTCCACCTCGTTCATCATCATTATCATCAAATGATGCTAAACTACCTCATTCATCAGCTAATTCTCCGTCATCAAAACAATCTCAAGTCAATCGTTTTCCAGTCAATAATACTCCTGCACTTCCTTCTTATCCACCACTACCGCCATCGCATAGTCGCGTAACAAATAATATTACAACATCGTCATCAGGTTCATCTTCGTCGGCTGATGCTAGTCGATCTTTACCGTCTGCTGATATCAATCAATCTAATGATGCACGTGCTCGTCGTCGTCTTCGTGTACGTCAATCTAATCCATTATCAATAAATGATCAACAAGATGCGAATTATTTATATAAAGTTAGTCAAAATGATACATTACAACGTCGAAAACGTGATCAACAAATAAATAATCATTTAAAACAATATCAACAAATATCATCTGATGATGAACATGAATTATTATCAAATGCTCATCCTTCTCAACCAGTTGTTGTAAATATTTATTTTATTTGTATTTAATTTGTATTTTATTTCTTTAGGTTGTTGTTCAACCGAAACGATTAGTAAGACCAAATTCATCTGCATCATCGGTTGAATCAAATTATAGTAAATTATCATTTGATGATGATGTTTATTTAAATGAACGTGAAACAAATATAAATTCACAACAGCAATCAGAATCAAAAATAACAATACCATATGATTCGAATAATAATCTTCCAAATTCAAAAGCACGTCAACGTCGTCGTGAGAATCGAAATCAATCATCTATTGAGTCATCAAATCAAGTAATAACAAACAATAGTAATCATGAATTATCACATTCAACATCACAAGATTCAATCTCAACTGATATTGAAAAGAAAAAAGAAGGGTTAGTTATATAAGAATTATCTAGAATTTTAATTCAATTCTTTTTTTCTTTTAGAGAAAAAGATATGAATGATCTACTTTTTATGTTAACAGCTACATTAAGATTAGCACCGCCAACAGTAACTAATGTTCAAGATTCTGATCTTGATCCAAAAGAATTAACAAATAGTAGTAATGATAGTGATAAAACAGTTGTTGATAATGGTTATAATCATTCACCAACGGAAGAGCAAAGTAATATATTTAATAAAAATAGATTTTTTATTTTTATTCTATTGATTAGTACCAGAACCATGGTCATTAGATGATAGGACAATGGAAATTCCATTACATCAAACAAATCGATTTTCTAGACGTTGTGAAATATTGAAAGAGTAAGTGAACAATAATTTTATATTCATGAAAATAATATTCGACTCAGTAATAAATCAAATAGTTATTAACCATATTTTCCTCTTTATACGAATTACATGTATAATTATTTAAATCTCAATTCTTATCAGAGATCGAACGAATGTATAAATATTTGTACTTCTACTTAAGTATCGAAAAAAAACTTTAAACTTGAACTTGAACGAAGAAAATACCTGAACAAATACTTTCAAAACTTTTCTATTCGTCATCTATTGAATCATACGTGATCATTGAGCAGTTTTTATAATAGCTTGTAAATGCACACAATTTTCGTTGCATTGAGCCAAAGATTATTTCTGATAAGAATAGGATTTATCAGATATGCAGTATCGTTTTGCATCTTTAGAGACTGATTTATTGAAGAAAATGGTCGACTAATATAGCATTCATCGTCTCGCGACACGTAAAAGAGTAACACTAAAAATCAGACAGGCAAAGTGAAAACCTAAAAATTTCAGCATATATACTAGAGAGAAGGACAACTGAAAGTATCGTGCTCGACTAGCACTAAGGAAATTTAGCAGTACTTTCTGATAATGTAAGGATATATAATAGATTGGTTAAAGCTTTTGCACACTCGAAGGAAAAGTACAAAATTTCTTTCTTTATACTTAAGTACGAGTACAAGTATGTAATTATATGACATTATTATTATGTACCTACCTATAAAATGTGAATGGAAATTAGACAAAAGGTCGTTCAAGAGTTTCGTGATATAATTATAGGAGTTTCTACTTAAACATCTTAGGCTAAACCTATTAAATTTAGTAGAATAGTGTCTAGTAATCAATTCTTCAATCAATATTAAGATCAAAGATAAAGACTACAAATCTAATAGAAAATAATAAAATTAATCGATTCTCTCAAAAATTTCGTTGATAGAGGATTTTCATTTGATTTTCTGCATGAAAAATAACGATGAAGGTTGAAGTTTGCTACAACACGTTTAAAGAAAATCTATAGATTAAAAACGCTACACAGATATTCATTAAATTTTTCAATAAAATAATAATTTCATTTTCAGGGATTGTCTTCGCGAAATTAGTCCAGAAAAATTACAACGTGTTCTAAATATAGTAGAAGATGTTAGTCAAGCACACATGACAGTAAGTATTCAATGAAATATTTTATTTTCAATTGAATTTATTTAATTATTTCAAGCATCAAATGATGAGTGAACTTGGCGAATATTTATATCACAAATATGCTCCACAAATATATTTACTAAAATTCTATGAAGACAATGTACGTACTCATACATAAAAATAATCTGGTCATTAATCATGTTTTCTCTATACTTTTATTTACAAAAACCGAGTGAGAAAATACCAACAAACCTGTAAATGTTATATCTTCAAAAATTTTCTTCTATAAATGTGTATCTTTAATACTCTTTTTCATAGTATAATCATTTTGTATTTGCGTCAGTTTTTTTCTTCACTGTTTTTTTGTGTGGCAATTTATTTATGTTTGTTTTCTTTCCATTTACGTTAGTAGTATTTACATACATATACCTTGTTCTTTTGTTTTTTTTTTGAAAACTTTATATAATAGATTGCAGTATTGATTGTGTGGTATATGATAATTTAACATTATATTTAAAGTTGAATTTGAAATTTTATTTAAAATTACAGAGAGAATAGAGATGACTTAAGAATGTCAAAAAGTGGGTAATGGTTATAATAAAAGAAAACGGCATTAAAAGGCTGCTCATGAGAGAATATTTCAGTATTTTAACGCTTCTGATGGAAAGAAATGTAAATAAGAGTTGCTGATCGATAATTTGTCACTTTTTTAAACTCACTAACTTGAAAAATTTATTTTCAATACACATCACAAACGTAGATCAATACAGTGGTTTACTGTCGACTCATTTCAAGTAAGTCAATTAGATGATTTGTCTCTTAACTATTACTCTCTATTCGTTCTATCTCGATTCATTACTAATTAATTACTAAATAAGTTTAATATACTGATATCCATTGTAATTATAAATATTTCCATTGCGTTCAGATAATGTGAATCGAAGCACAACAAGCTAGATACATTGATACCAATACAGTATTTATTAAACTTAACTCACAAAGAGTAAGAAAGAAATGCCTATACCTGACAACATATGTATGTGTACGTAAGAAAAAAAGGAACAAATATATGTATATATATAATATGTATGGCACGTCCTTTGTACAATATATGATGTTACGAACAATATACAATGACAATAGTGGTTGTTGATCAAAGTTAATTGTATTCAAGACTTTTCAATCGTAGATAAAATTTATTCATAGTTCGGGGAAAATCAAGTAAAAACATCCTATTTATACAGGAAATGAATTGAGAGGATCTAAATACAGTCATTATACCAGATTTGATGATCTGTTTTTTCCTTAAATAAAATATAAGAAAAGACATTTAATCTTGACGACTATCATTTATTGTTGCTGAATTAATATTTTAGAAAAAAAAATTTTGCGATACATATATACATGTATACGTTTGAAAAATTGTTTGTTTTTTTTTATATTCATATTTATGAATTTGGATCTGTATGTTGAGCAGTTGATGTTGTTGTATCACCTTCATTTTTAACAGTTTCACCCTTGCGATCATCTGTTCTTGTTCCTGATCCACCATGTTCACCACCTAATTGACCATGATGTATATCAATGGATGGACCTATATGAGTTTGCGTCGGATATGTTGTTGTCATAGGAACAGATGATGATGATTCAGCAGTTGAAGAATTCGCTGTAGGCATAATACCAACATGAGTTTGGTCAGTATTTGTTGCCTTACCAGCTGCACTTGGATAGTTAAAACCTGAGTTATCAACATTTGGATTTGGATTATGCGACATAGCAACGGTTAAATATATATATTTGTGTATGTATATTATATATTCTCTTCTTATTTTGTTGTGACTTACAGACGAAGAAAGGTAACTCAGTTCACATAAAAAAAAGAAATAAGAACAGAAAAAAAATTCTTCCAACAGGAATAGAATGGAAAAAAATGGAGTTTTTAATGTTTTGTCTGATGTCGTAGCTTGTCGACATAGAATTTTAACTCAATCTCTTCTTCTGGTGATGTATTGTTGATTATTTGATGATATTTCTTAATTGAATTTAATCCATCAATAAGATATTCTCGTTTACAAACGATTTCATCATGATCATAAACTTGTTTTGTATTATCATAATTAATTGAGATAAGAAATTGACGACTACTTGACATTTATTATATATATACTATTGTTTCTACAACAAAATACGCTGTTGAATAAAATTATGTTTTCTAAAATCTAACTCAGAAAAAAAGGAAAAAATATATAGAAAAGAAAGGAAAACAAATTAGTAACGAAGACAATGAAAATATATATATTATTTTTTTGTTCTAACAAAAATGCAAATTTAATCATACTGATTGCTTTATAGATGTTCTATTTTTAATGTATTGCTCATATGTAGAAAAACTTACGGTAATCTATTTGTTGTATACAATCATTGTTTATTGAATTAATTCATTATTTCCTTTTCGAAAGTCATCCAAAGATAAATTATTATACAATTTTTGAGCAATAAATAGACTCATTTAAAATATTTAGTATTTGAAAATTAGCTAAACCTTATCATATACAAAATTTTCAATTTGTTAATTTTTTTAATTTCATAATAGATTAATAAAAATTGAGAGATATATCAAGTAAAATAACTTAATATTTAAATTGTAAATTAATACTTAAAAATTTTATTTTTATTTTAAAATAAAAAAATCGGTATTAAATATCATGTTTTTAAGTAAAACTATAATAGAACATAATAGCATCTACGTATTCTTCTTCTATATCTGCATTTGTTTCTTCTGTTATTTCTTTATTTTTAATAAGAAGACCAGCATTTGGAACTCTTCCAATTTCTTTAAATCCTAATGATCTCCATAAACGAACACTAGCAATATTACTTTCAAATACTAAATTAAACATTGAAGCTTTATAACCTAATAATGGAGCAATTTCAATAAAAGCTAATGCCATAACTGTACCAATGCCTTGATTTCGATGAAGGCTTGATGTAATAAATCCTCCATTACAAATCTAAATTAGAAAACAAAAACTAGATTAATACATGAAAATTAATGTATTACATGAGAACATCGACCGGGAAAATTTGGTTTAATATAAAATATTCCTAATATATTTTCTTCTAGATTATTAAATAAATCATTTGAAATTGCTTTTTCACTATTAAGAACAACGAAAGCATCAGCAGATAAGAAATAATTTTTAAATTCAGTATCATTCAATGGAAATTTTTGTGGATATGTATTTCCAGCTTCAATTTCTTTGTTTAATAAAGATTGTAAATAGGATATTAATTTTGATTCATCTGTAAATTTTTGTAGAATGCTCGATATTGAATGTACTGAAACTATTTTATTAGATTTATTAATCGATTCAATAGGAAGTAATGATTCTAATTTTGATAGATTACATTCTTTTGGTCGATCAATTTTTCCATAAGCTGATGACATTGTTGAAAATTGAAAGGATTTAATCTATCTAAAATAATCAATGTTTTACTGGGCGTTTGTGTTTAAAAGTTGAAGAAATATTTTTTGTTGATTCTTCAAGTATTGTTAAGTATTTTGTTGATGATCTTCTATTTATAAAAATTTACATTCGTTTTTGCTTGTTGTTAAAGCTAACAAAATATCATGTCTTAGACAAAAAACAAAAAACTTGTTGTTATCATTATCTTTCATTTACAAAGATAACAATAGGTCACAATAGAGGACGTAAAGGTGAAAACGTCACTTTCATTGGTTTCTGTATATTGTTTGCAAAATAACTTTATATATCTGTTCGTTTCTAGACAATAGAATGACTTTTTATAACACTATGACCACATAAAAAGACTGTGTCTTCATTCATTAAAATTCTTATAAATACGTATTTTAATGTATCTCATACTCTCTATGCATTTAATAGAGGAAGCAAATGATTAATAACAGAATTGTAGAAAAAAATCGTGCCAATTTTCTATCGAAGAGAAATATTTTTTTTTTAAATTTTTTTTAACAATATATTCAAATAAGTCTTTTTTCTTTCTTCATAAAAATTAAAAGAGCAACATGTTTTTCCTCGTATATTCGATTGTCGATACAATATAAATAATAGTAATAATAGTAATAATAAATCTACTTTTAATATTGTCGTCGATATGCACCTAATGGTTCGACATTACTAACAAAAAAACTTTCATCAAAACGTTGTTCGGATCGACGTCCCATATCATAACGACAAACTTGTGATGCACCTCGTACTCCACCATAGATCGACTCATTCCCATTACCAAAACCAGCAAATGATGATGAACCATATATTCGTTGTGTATATTCAACATGACATGTTCGATAAACAACAAATAATGATATTGATATACCAATAATAAATATAATCGAAATAGTAGCAATAACCGTTGATCGTTCAACTGCACCTTGTCCTATTAATGATGAACGACTATAGAGAGCATCTACGAAATAACAATAGAATATAATTTAAGACATAAACAAATTTCTTTACCATAAATAGCTTTATGTTTATGTGTTGATTGAGATCGAGGTACTTCGATAGTAAATTGTTGTTGAATTTGTCGTACTTCATATTGAGTAGGATTATTATCTTCTAATTGATTAGTTGATGATGGTTGATCCATTGACCAAGTTAAATCCGATAATAGTCTAGCTAATTTTTTCTTTGTTTGTTCTTCATCAGAATCAGTTCGTTTTCGACGTCGTAATGCAATAACACTTTCACCATCTTCATCAATATAATCAAATGGAGCCGAGTCAGTTGATGATGTTAATGATGAATTAAGTATATTTGATGATCGTCGTGTTTCTGGACATAAACGCTAGAAAATACAAATAAAAATATGAAAATCAATATTAATAAATTTACTTCTTGACAATTTTCTATTCGATCATGACATATTGCTATTGAACAACGTAAATAAACAATTGATGTTGTATCAAATTTTTGTATTTGAAATATTGTACTTTTTATATGATCGGGATCCATACGTTGAAAACGTACTGATAAACGTGAATCTAATGATGGACAACGATTTGTTAATAAAGAAATTTTTTCTAATTTTATTTCATTATCTGATACACTTGATGCTATTGAACAATTTTCAGCGATGATTTGATGACGATTAGTATTATGTTCAGCTATTCGAAACAAAACAAAAATCAATTAAAAAAATATATAAAATTATTCTTATATAGAACCTGTTCGATATTTAATATCAATAAAAAGACGATTACCAACAGAAACTGAACCACTATTATCAATTGAATGTTGTTGATTTATATCAAATAAAGTTAGTATAAGTTCACCTCGTCTATTTGATGCTAATGGTGTTACAATCGGTATACTAAATGGACTATTTAGTTCTATGAATAAAACAAAAAATTGAAATTATACTTTTTTCTTAATGGTTGTGTTACAGATGTGATGGATGATGATGTTATACCATTACATAAATCACTATCTGTTTGACAGAAACATTTATCCATATGATCATCAGTATTCTCATCTAAACAAACTCCACCACGTTCAATACATGATGTACATATTGAATCAATTGATGCATTTATAACTCGAACTAAAATTTCCATAGAAAAAAACTTGTGTTTTATTAAAAATATTTCAAACAAACCACAATGAGTTTTATTCACAGACATATATTGTTCTTTACAAACACATCGAAAAGCACTTCCACCAACACGTTTACAATTAGAATTTAAACTTGTACATGTACCAGGAATGCAAAAATCACCTAAGTTATGTTGTGATTCATTTGGAACTATAAAAATCAAAATAAAAATCGTAATAAAAAAAAATCAAAAATAAACCTCGTCGTTTAGCATCAATTAATGATAAAGACCATAGAATAACAATAAATATAAAAAATCCAAGTTTGTACATTTTCTTTTTACTATATAGACATACTGATTGTCTTATTTGTAGAATGTTTCTATTGTCTTTCGTTCAAATGTTCTTATCGAAAAATGTGATCAAACTCTTTTTCTTTCTTTCTATCAATAGTGATCATTTACTAATCCCTATGTCATTACTACGCTAATTATCATCGTTGTTCAATCCGATCAACATGCATTCACCTACTTGACTATGTCATCAGAATGTTTATTAATTCCTCAAATAATATATTTATTTAGTGAGTGGGAGAGATTGAACTATGTCTACATATACTCTCAAGAGAAAATAGTTAAAAATACTGTTGATAAAATCAAATCTATACATTCTTTACTTTTAATCCGTTACAATAGAGATTTTACATTACTAAAGGTCTATCAAAAGTTTACTTTCTGTATATTACAGAATTGTTATTCCATGGCTTGTAAAAATAGCTTTTTTATTTTTGACATATAAATATTAGCATTAATTTGAAAATTTTATAATAAACAATGTATCAATAATTTAAAGCATTGAAAATTCAGATAGCGTTATTAATAAAATATTTAATGACGCATTATATTAATTATAGATAAAGTGAGAATCTCATATGCTAAATTATTTATGTGCAGTATAATCCTTCTTTGGAATAGAAAGAGGATTCGAATTCCGTACTTTTACTCTAGTTCTTTCAATAATACTATAATTCTTATAGATATTTATTAAAATACTTCGTTTCTATTCCGTGCTATTGTATTACACTTCGAATATGTATTTCATAAAATCATTCAATTCACTACCACCAGCATGATAATTTGTTTCAAAAATATCAACGTATGTACGATTAAATATACAATACATTTATCTGAAAGATATTTTCGAGTATACCAATTGAATAATAATTATTGTACTATATATCATACTCATTTTTAATATTCGCCTCTTCTTTTTTGTTTTATTTCATTATGAAGTATTTTTAGTATATAAATCAAGATTAAGGTAGTATCCTCGTTAATTCTAGAAAATAATCTATCTATCCTATTATTATATTTTGCAATCAATATTCATCGTATAAACAAACGCTTCAGTTGAAATAAACCATAGAATTAGTTGATTTTATAATATAGAGTACTACATATTAAGGAAGTAAGGATATCTTACAAGTCTCCCACTGAATAAACTTGCATGTTTATTCTTCTTTTGCGTTGATTATTAAGAAAGGAAAAATAGTAATGTATTATATGTCACAGTTGCCTGTCATGAAATAGTTAAGAAAATATATTTAGAGAGATCTAGTTTTTTTTAAGATGAATATTAACATATTTTTGATATGTTAAATACTATTAAAAAGTCTAATAGATGTACTTATCGAGCAAAGAACTAGATATGTCAATAAGAAGAAAAAAAATACTTTCTACATCCTCTCTCAAATGAAATGAGATGTATACTATGTTCTCATGTTTTTCATTATCAAATTGTTTATTATAGAAAAAAGATTGGTTTTTATTTTTTGTAAAATAGAACAACGGAAGTAATTTATAATAGACATCTATATGAAACAGTTTGAATACTTAACATATATATATATAAGTTGACAAGTAATTATTCGTCGATTCTCACAATTTAATAGTTTAGTTCTATTAGAATTGATTCGCACTAAACTTTATTGTTTGCATACAATTGATAATATTCATGCATACTCTCTTTTATCCTATATTACTTTCCTATTATCCATATCCATTTTGAATAGACTTATTTTTACTCAAAGAAACTCTAGGAATAACAAAAGATTTTATAACCTTGTATAATTTTTCAACATAATAATAAACAAAGTTTAGAATATCAATATGGTATCTCATGTAACAAAAGAAAAACTGAATATTAAATTATCATTCTCTTTATAGTCAAAGTGCATTTTTTTTCAACATCCGATGAGACATATTCAAGAATTTTTTGTCATTTTTTTTTGAGTATATAGCCTTTTATTGAGAATAAGATGTTACAAAAGATAACAAACATGTCATTAACAAAGAACGATGTTTCAGACGGCTGTTTAGACAACAGAGAGACGCATGACAAATGTCTTATGTCTCTTATACTTATTATATTAAGTATTATACATAAATCACTTCAATAGTGTTTTCACCCGACTGTTTTAAAAGCCTTGACTAAGAACTCACTATACTGCTATGATGCTCAGACATATTGAGGATGATAGGCAAAATTTCAGACTTCTAAGTCTTGTGCTTTGTTGTAGTTTATTATTTCTTCTATACTACATAGATGCGATTTTCAATATAACGCATAACGCGTGCGGAAAGTTGAATAGACATGTTTTGTATATTAGGTTTCAATCTCTTAAGAAGTTATATTTTAAAAAACAAAATACGCCCACAGGATGCGTAGTGAAAAACTCTACAATGTATATGAGACCACTTTTTTATTGTTGCATGTTTGACTTTCATAATGGGCAAAACTTTGAGCGATCAAATTTCGATAGTGTGAAAAGATAACATCAGCCAGAATTTTCTTTATTTCTTATTTCATCTTTTTATCGCCTACACTGATTGTAGAACTTTTCACCATATATCCTGAGGTGTAATTTGATTTTTTTAATAAAGCTTATTACGAGTTTGAACACTGATATATAAAACGACTGCTTAGCCTGTCTCACTAGCACAAAAAAATAACAAACTTCAACAAAGTACAAGACTTAGAATTCTAAAAATTTGTACATAATTCTTAATATATCTGGGCACCATAGTACTATAGTTAGCTCTTAGTTAAGTCTTTTAAAATGATCGGGCGGAAAAAAACTTTTGGAGTAACTCCTATGCATTATTGTCTATCGAATTACACATATGAATTATGTATACCTGCAGACAATCGCTATTCCATATGACTCAACCAGATATTAATTTATATGCAATTAAATTTCTTCTATTTTTAGTTTATATATATTTATTGTTAAACAAGTTTGCTGATGTATGTAAGTTCTATTTGGATTATATTCTAGATAAATTTAGAGGTAATACGGATGAAAATGTTTAATATATTACAAAAGAGATAAAAATCTATTAGACAGTCTTTTGTCAGTTTTCAAGAATATTTTTTTGTTGAGGGTGAATTACCGAAATTAATGCTTCATTGCTAGTTTATTACCTTATAAAAATGTTCCTTTTAAATTCGCTTTTTTCCTATTGTCTTTCATAATACTTTTTAAACTCTAAAAGTTTAGATATATTTAAATAATAATGGATTTCATTACCGTGAATATTTTCTTGGTTATTACTCGAATTTCATATAGTTTCCAGAGATAATGAAAATAGAGAAACTTATAATCTGTGGGTTTAGTGATGATAAATAAATTGAGTAGCAGCATCTTATACGCCTTTTTGTTTCTTCAAAATATAATCATTTATCCTCTATCCGTTGAACTTCTATATATTTTGCGTACATAAAACAACTTAGCTTCTATAGACACAAAATCTTTTGAGTAATACGAAATTTTCTAGGTAAGTTATTTTACAAAGTGGACAATCATAAGGATTTGTCATTATCTAATAAAACCCTTGGAAAATAAGTTCTAATGCATTAAATAGTAATTGCTCATTCAAAAAGCTGATGAGCAATTGTTATCCTCCAGCTGTAGCAGTACGTCATTTTAAGATAATTATAAAAAGATATATTTATACAATATGTCTAATAAGCTCTTGCAAATAAACAAAAAGATAAAGAAAAATCTAGGGCAAAAATTTAAAAAGATTAATGTGCCATTAAAAGATCTGCTTTTGACAGATGAAAACTAGTGCAAAGTATACATTTTGCCGAAAAGTGTTGACAACAGAAGATAGATATTTATAAAACTTTAATTCCGGTGGGGTCTCCTAATAGACTTTGAATTACAGTCGATAAAATTAATTTGAAGAAGAGAATAAATTTTTTCTTCTATTATTTTTAATGCATTTTGTTTTTTGATAATAACTCTATGAAGAAAGTAATTTGACATGGGAATAGTGATGTTGTGTAAAGTAATACAATTCTCGAGTTTAACGAAATTATTGTAAATTAATCTGATGATTTTTAGTCAACACGACAAATTCAGCTATTGAACTAAATAGAAAAAATGTCAAGTATTTAAAAATAATTTTTTTCAAATAAAAGATTCATGCGAACTTAATGACATATTTTAATATTTAATAGTACAATACTATATATGATTTATTCTGGTCTATTTCGTTTTTTGTCTTATATATGAGAGAAAATAGTCTCAAGAGTCAATCGAGGTAAGATGAGTTCAGAGAAGATGTACTTTACATGGAAACTCTTCTGCATCTTTCCTTTGCCAGTCGTCTAAGATAAATCAAGTGAAAACGGCGTTTCTTTCTATTATACTATTAGAACCTTGAGATATTTTCATTTGTCGAGAGAGAAGAACGACAGAAGAAGAAAAAAATTTATTGTTGCTTTCGATGAGAATATTTTATTCTATTAGTAGTTATTTCATAAACAAAACATTATTTGATAATTGGTTTTACGAGTACTCAACTTAGATGCTAAAGCTCAATTTTACATCAATAATGTCATCTTCAAGTATATTGCAGGTATATGTTAAAACTAAGTATTATAGACTAACAACAGAGATAATAGGATAAATAATTGTTCATTGAATTTTTTCTTCATATAAAATATACGAAAAAACAATATAAGTAATTAATTTACGAATGTCAGTAAGTAAAAATTAATAAAATATTTTTTAATGACGTTAACCCATAAAATCTTCTTATATGTTATGAGTCCTTTGAAGTCTACTATTTTTGTTGCGAGTTTCATAATCAAAATACTAATAAATTAGAGTACTTTAGTTTTTTTATGAGCAACATTGCATAAATAATAAGATATATTTAGGGTTTCATTTACATTTTTGTACTCGTCGAATAGAAATAGATTAGTTTTATTGCAACAATCACACAATAATTGTTTTGTATTACTAACTAATAATAATATATTTCTTTAGTTTGCAAGATGTAACGAACTTTTTTAGTTCGAAATTACGATGATTCTTTCTTCTTTTTATTATAGACATCATGTTAATCACGTGCGATTAGTAGAAGAATACGTAATTCATTAATACAAAGAGTAAATAATATCATTAGTAGAAGTGATGTTGAATAAAAACGGCGAAACTATAGGCGTGTCAATGCTTGCATTTTCTCATTTTATGCCTTTGTAATTGATAAAATAAAAGTAGATATGTCATAAAAAATTACAAAGACAAGAAGGTTCATTAATTGTTCTTTATTTTGAAGAAGGAAAGCTACAGTATATATTATTTATACTTAATAATAGATAATTTTTGTTTTCTTTATAATTATCTTCTATTTTACCGTTTTTCGAAAATAACTTTGACAAAAAATATTATATAAAATGAATACTGTCACGCATTTATGACCGACAAGTATTTACTACGAGCAATACGTAATACCGGACCTTGTTAGGAGTTAATCATACACATATCGACAATAATATGGTTTGCTTCACTCACTTCATTTCCCATTTCACATGAATTAATCTTTTTTATCTACTTTCTTTTTCTTTTTTTTTCTATGGTAGCAAACGGAAAATTGGCATTCAAAAACAGATAAGTCTACGCAACTTTATGGGGTAAGATACATTAAAAAAGAGTTTTTTTTTCTTACACATTAACCATATTCATTTTATCTATACAGATGAATCGTTTTCTATGTGAACCAAATAATCTGAAACTGAATTCAACAGCAGCATATTATTTTTCTCAAACATTATCTAATATTTCCATCCATACGTTACCTATATTAGCATTAGCTGGTAATTTATTAATTATAATTGTTATATTAACAAATTCTCAATTAAATCGATCATCATTTTCTGTTTATATTAAAACAATGGCTGTATCAGATACACTTGTACTTGTACTTAAATTAATATCATTTGAAAATAAAACATCACAAAAATTTTATTCGTCATCAATGTGTACAATTCTAGTATTTCTTAGTGAAGCAAGTGTTCTTTTATCAGTTTGGACAATTGTATTAATAACAATTGAACGTACATTGGTTGTTTTATTTCCAATACATATTAAAAAATTTGTTTCAGTATATCATGCTCGAATATTAATTACTTTAATAACAATAATTAGTTTTTTATTTTCAACACGTGTCTTATTTATACCAATTGATATATCAGCAGTTCAAAAATGTCAACCTATGCCAGAGTGGCAAAACTATCGACAACTTAATGTAACAATAACTGAATTTACTTATTGTTATATTCCATTATCAATTGTTATTATTGGTAATTTTATAACATTATGTGCTGTTAAACGTGCAGCATCACAACGACGTCAAATTTTAACAAATAATACATACAGTAATAAATGTCAAATGGATTCAAATGAAAATCAATTAATGCTTATGTTATTAGTTGTAACATTAATGTTTATGGTTTATTTTTTGCCATTTACAATAGCCAATGCATTGTCAAGATGGGGTTTACCATTTGGTATGTGTTTTACACAACGATCTTTTGAAATTTATTTAATTATACGCACATGTTGTGATTTATTAAAAGATTTAAATTTTTGTACAAATTTTATTATTTATTGTATAAGTGGACGACGATTTCGTTTAGCACTTTTTTCACTTATTCATCGTAAACGAAAGCCAGTATTTTCCAGTTCAAATTATCTAGAAAGTACAAAGCTACGTAGTGAACGTTTAGGACGAAGTAATACACAAAAAATATATCATTTTGCGGCAAAACAAACATATGAAGAATCACAATTTTAAGTTTTTTTTTTCAAATTATGAAAAATTCTTTTTATTGTATAATGTTGTTTCGTTTGTATATGTTAATAAAATTCAAATACAAACTATTAAAAATTTAATTATTATTTGACAGTCATGCAATTATCTTGAGAACATTGTGATGAAGTCAAAAACTAGGCATGAAAAGAATGCGATTGTCAGTTGTTTATAAGAACAGTAGTCACTATAGGCCGAGTGTCATTAAAAAAATATGTAAGCTGCACGCTATGAGTATTCTTTCAAAGATGATAGAGTGCTCTACGTTTAAGAATTTTTAATAAGATAAAAGAGAGCATCAATTATTATCCATGAATATCAAAAAAGCTCTACATGAAAAATATGTCATATACAATCTTTGTAGAATTATATAAAAGAAAGGTTATGATGAATATCTTTTTGAGAAACTGTATATTAATTCGATGGGTACATTCAATTTTGTTATTAGAATGTATAGTGCATATTTTAAAGTAATTCAAGTACTGTTTATATATAACTTTGTAATTGAAGTTTTTAGACAATATGAAGATAATAGAGGAAATATGAATCTTGATGGAATTTTATTTCGATCTAATATAATATTTCCGGTTTTATAGGATGTCGATTATTTTATAAACAATAAAACTGGAAAATATTCATCCTTGTCTGACAGAATAAATCTATTCACAGATCTTTGAGGCATTTTTTTTGACCTTTAATCATTTTCCTTAAGTGTATAACCCCTTGATATCTTATATGCGAGAACTTTTCAAATATTTATATATATTCAGATGAAAAGATATTGTTTTAAGATAGAATAAGATACTGATAGTTATATTTTCTTTTTTTCATTATTTGAAAATTAGTCGTTGACATGAAGGAGATTTTCTTTGAAGATTTTTGATAAAAATTGGGTTTAATGAGTCTTATTTAGAAAATAGGATATATTTAACCTTGTTTTTCATCAAATATACTTATTATTTACGGAATATGATATAAAAATATCCGTTTTAGACTTGCATATATTATTTAAAAAGTTGAATAAAAAATATCAAGAAAGGATTGTCTGACTTTGAACATTAATATTAATTATAAAATAGAAAAATGAATGTGTATTTATGATGTACGAAATAGAAAGATTTATTCTTGAATTTCATGACCTTAAACTGCATTAATGATATAATAGTAATCTGAAAATCTGAAAAATTATTGTACAAAAATCTCTTATAAATTCGTATTTTTATTTTTTTTTTTGTATTTAAATAGTGAAAAAGTATTTTCATTAGTTTGTTTTAAATATATTAAAATACTAAGATATTGTTGTTTTTGTTCTTCAGTTAAGACGATTTACGCACGTTGCTTTTTTCTAGTCTGATAATGAATAGATAACATATTACATACAATGTATCTATGTGCTTGTTCTTCATTTTTTATGATTCGTGTTAGTTTGTAGATATATCTGTCAAAAGATAACATAAGAGATTGTTTTGTTCTTATATTGAAAAATTAACCACATTTATATTATATCGATAATTACGCACATGGATGTAAGTCAAATAACTAGAAATTTTCTTTTTTGTTCATATATTTTTTTAGACTGGAGAAGCATCAGGATTTGGTGGTGGTCTTCGAGGAGTAAATGAAGCAGCTATTGAAGAAAGTGGTTTACTTGGAACAGTAATAAAATTGATTTTTATTTGTATATATATATATATATTAGTTCATCTTATTTTAGCGTCGCGGTTGTATAAATATCAATCGATATGAAATTATTTTTCTCTGTGTTGGTATATTAGCCGCAATTACTACAGATAGTTTAACAATCGTTCGACTTGTTGAAATTATAAATGATACAAGAAATGCTGATTTTGCCTATGCTATACTTCTTCTTGTTAATTCAGGTATTAATTTAAGAAAAAGAAAAGATATGCATAAATACATTACAAAGTTTATTTTTCTAGTATTTCTTCTATTATTTCTTATTACTGGCATTTTGTATCAACGTATTACTGATATTGTAGTTTTTTTTATTACTGCTGTTATGCTTACTATATATGTTATTGTACATTTTATTGCTCGAATGAAAACAATTGATAGGCATGATACATATGCAAAAATTCTTCTAGTAAGTATCATGATATTTTACTAGTTTATTAATCGTTGTATTTATGTTTTAAAGACTCGACTTATTATTACAATTATTTTTAATATATGTTTTGTTCCATTGGCAATATTAGTTATTCAAGATTATCGTCGAGATGAATTTTCTAAACGGTTTGTTAATTATTAAGCATAGAAAATATGAAAATTTTTTTTGAATATTTCATAGACTTTTTGGTGCTTTTCCTGCTGAACGTCGTCCACTTAAAATCTATAATATATTTGATTGTTTAATACGTATTAATACAATGCTTTCTGTATGTTTTTTTCTTGATAAATTTACAGTTTGAATTATTTAAATCTTTTAAGATTTCAATATTTATTCTAAATCTATACAATTTCAATTCGTTTGAATGGCTTGATAGAATTTTCCTTGCTATTGGTATTCCTTTAACATTTTTATGGTTAGCTATTGGTTCTGCTATGGTAAGATATATACCCAATTTTCTTTTTGAAAAAACGTATGATTAAAGTTTTGTTTTTCTCTCGATATTTAGGTTCGTCTTGAAAATCATATATTAGTTGGCATTTTCTATCTGATTTCATTATTTCAACCTGGATTTCTATGTTATTGTATATATAATGTAAGTTTGTCTTTTTATCTTTATTAATAGAAATAAAAATTCTTTAAAAATAATTACAAATAGGCTGTTATTAATACATCAACATATGTGACATCAGCAACAATTATAACAACAACTTTTACTGTTCCAACAACAATGACAACTAATAGTTCAGTAATTCCAACGACACTATTTACTAGTTCAATGTTTCCAATGAATACAACAGCAATACCGAAAAATCTTGTATCTGTACCTGATGCACTTTATGTGTGTATAGGAACAAATTTTCTTTCTCATATATTATCATTAATTTTTGCATTTCTTTGTATTCATAATTTTGGTAAAGGTCTTAAGGAGAGAGTATTTAATAATCGAATTGACAAATGGTTTCAAAGACATTGATTTAATGCAAAAAAATAATAAAACAGCAATTTACGATAGAGACTCGAATATTTTGCTCAATTACATTTTTTTTATTTTATATCGTAATTTAAATATATCTGTGATAATATTCATATATAGTTTTTTTTAAATAAGATATTATAGACGAAATATTTTTATTTTCAGTTAATGGTATATATATTATATATCCGAAAATATATCAAATCATGTAGATAATTAGCGAAGAATAAATTCATTATCTTCATGTAGTTCTACTTGTTTCAATATGATAGACATTCATAAATACATACTTTGTAAACAATCTGACAAATTCCATTCTTCTTATATAATAATAATTCATGATCTTTCCTCATATGATGAATTTTAATGATGTCTAAAAGAAATTCCTAAAAAAAGATACTAGTTTGATATTTATTATTCTATCTTGAGTCTCATTGTATATCAATATATCACTAGTAAAGACAGAATTATGCATATAACTATACAAACATAATTGTATATTATTTTATTCTAATATATATAGTTAATAGAAAAATTATGGGCAACTATATATATACAAACATAAATATATGTCGAATGTTAACCTATTAAATAAAGTGTTATCAATTATGATTATATAAATTAAATATTGATGCCATTATTATATGACTACTAAAAGAATTCAATATTACGTTCTTATAACGTTATCAAAAAATCAATAAATAATATAACAAAAAATGTGAATAAAGTATTCAAATATCTCTTATATCGTTAAGATGTATATATATATACACACATATAAAAATTTGTCAAGTCTATTGAGATATATAATCATGTCTGGAACATAAAAAAAAATATGTTGAATGAGTGAGATAATAGATTTTATATTGATGATGAAATATATAAATCAATGATTGCAATCGTCAAGGCATTGATAAAAAGAAAGAGTAACCAGTTGCTTCTAATCGATTCAATTAATTCGATCGTGTTTTAATGATAGCTTTGAAGAATCATACATTATATGATGTAATAAACATGTGGCGTTCATTCAATTATGAATGATCTTGATAAATATGATATGATTTTAAAGTTTACTGAATAATATAAAAAGATTTTCTAAGATGATCATCAATTTTCAATTAGAATTTATTGATCGAATAGATTTTTTTATAAAGTTTTATCTTTCGTGTACATAATATCTATATCTTTATCAGATATCGTGCTAATTATACTAATTGTACCGTGTCTTCGATTATTTTTATTAGCACATTTTGAACTACAAAGTCAGTTTCTTTTTCTTATGCTTATATATATGCATATATATATGTGTGAACAAATGAACTTGCCTACGTCGCGCCCGTTACTACGTACGAATAGTCTATTTTTCTTTCTTTTTTCCTCTCTTCTTCTGTAAAAATAAATCAGATGATGGAGCTGGTGAACGATCGTGACTCTCTTGAATATATATATGTATATAATCAGAACTATTACATAAAATCAAAAGAGAAATAGGTTCATAGCAGGTGTAACATACAGACAGAAAAGAGTGTCTTCGCTTTCGGCTTTTTCTAGAAATAATTACGCAATAAATGTTATTGTGTATTGATATCATTAGGATAGAAATGATGCTTAACAAACAATGAAGATTAATGATCGAACATCTACAATAAATAACAATTAACCGGAACAGGTATGAAAGAATTTTATTGAATAGAATAAAAGAGAACTGCTAATATTAATAAATATCTAAACATAAAATAATAAATATTCAGTTCCGTTCAATGACAATTATTATTTATTTTATTATGAATAAAATATTGATTAACATCTGTTTTAAAACTGTGTCAATATTTCATCTTATCTTTTATCAGATTTATTTTCTTCTATTTAAAGTTAAGTAGACATGCAATTGATTTTTATTTATTATTATTAAGAATTAAAATATCTCTATTTCAAGGTTCGCTTTTTTCTTTTATTGGACAAGTCAAATTCAATTTTGAAGTAGGTAATATAAATTTCTCTTAGCATTATAATAAAGATCAAATAAAAAAAGTAATTCAGACTCTCTTGATCATATTGATTCGTCTTCGTTTTATATATGTTGAAATAACCTTGTCGCTTTGTTTTTTTCTTTTTTCTTTTTTACTAAAAAGGTCAAGTCTTTAATATCTTTTTCGACTGATAGTCATGTACAGTTTGTCTTTGTTTATTTTATGATTGTACTTGACCAATCTTTCTATTTGATCATTTTCTTCTGTTTCGTATATGACATAGTGACCGTAGTAACGACAGTAAGAAGCGTATTTTGTTATTAACTGCCACATCTCAATATATTCAAATTTCTTTCTTTTCTTCTTTATGTATTTATCGTTCTCAATTTCATTTTTTTTTCTCTCTTTCTCGATACGAAACGCCGCCTACTACTCCCGAACGAAGTCAAGTGTTCGATGCAGTGCCAATTCGATCATTTGTATGCCTTAAACTAAGACAATAGTGATATGTTGATAGTTAAAGAACACGAACAAAAAAAAGAAAGAACAACGACAAAGTGCTCCAGTAATGGTGGTCACCATTACAAATCAAACTAGAGAAATACGAACGTCATCTGAACGTGTATAGTCATTATTTGTAATATTGTGTGTGCTGATCTCATATATATGCATGTGCTTGACAAATGCACACATGTGTATATATATATTCCATAAATATAAGTTGAAAGAAAAAGAATATAAACTAGACACGAGATGATTAAACAGTAAGCTCGGTCGAACAAAGACGAAGGTCAGTCAGCTAGATTAGTTCTTTTTTCTTTGTATAAAAACTATTTCAAGTGATGTTTTATTAGTTTAATGTAGTATAAAAAAATATAATAGGTGTTGACTGTCACCTATAAAACAGCAAACAATGATTATTATCAATAATGTCCTGAAAATAGATCGTTGAAAATATATATAGATCATTAATGATTAACAATTTATTCTCCGACAAAAACAAAACGGATCGGTGATTTTTTGTTTTTTTCACAGTTCATATTAATAAGTTATGCATGAATAACAAATATGTATGTTTATATTTCTATATATGTATTATAATCTGTCAAATCAATGAAAACGATTCCGGAGACTATTGATAATTATAACTAAGATAGATCAAACTAGACAAGATCATTGACCTTCTCTATCTACTACTACCATTACCACCTCTTTTTTATTCATGAATCGCCTGCTTGTCATTTGTAATAGCAACTAATCACATTCACTTGTGATGTTTCGGATGTGAGTGATATAGAGACACTAATCATTCATTTATACAAAGAATTGAGGTTAGATAAACAATAGACCTTCAAACAATCGAATGAAGCACGATCTAATGTAGTCTTTATATATATCATATACTTTTCTTCTCTTTTCAATCAAACTTGACAGTATGAAGAAGCAAGTAAAAGTGTCGAACATGTAAATACGAGAAAAAAAAAGAATCAAGTAAAGTTCGTCAGTTTACTTTCATTACTGTTTTTTTTTCGTTTGTTGTGTTTTTCAGTCTAGAGATGAAGTATGTATTAAAAAATGATCGTTGATTTGTTTTAATTTATTTTTTATATACAATAAACAAACTAGCAAGTGAGAGAATAGACGAACGAGAAGAGAAGAAAAAAAAAGAAACTCAACTTTCATTAGAATAAAACATAAAAAGAAGAGAATAGTATGGCATTACTATAATTAGTATGTTTCTTGTTTCTTTCATATTTTTCATATGTATAAATTCCATATTTCTATTTTTTTTTCTTCTTTATATTGTCTGTTCAATTTGATCAAACAGAGTAATGGTATTAACAAGTGATCAGTGAATGTCTGGTCGACCTTTTTTACCATCTAATATTATTGTGCCATTCGTTGCACGTTTCTTTCTCTCGCTCCCTTTCTATTCTTTTATTCATAATTACCACATCACGCACAATGAGTGAAACCTGATGGTGGTAACTGTTGATCGGCCAGTCAGACGTATGTATATATACTTGGTGCGAGGAGTGTTCTATTTTTCAACCGTCTACAATGCAACTAGAAAAGTGTTATCGTTACTGCTAACATAGACGATATATGTATTGCCAGAGGGCTTCACATAGTGACGCGATGTCAAAGTAGATGAATGATAGAGCGATGGTATATGTAGACCTCCTTCACTATGCTTTCTATACACATGTCATTTTTGTTTTTGATATCATCTATATACAAAAGAGAGAAAGAGAGAGAGAGAGAGAGAGAGAGAGAGAGAGAGAGAGACACTAATTGTTCAGATATTTGTTCTATTCTTTTTGTCTACTATCATAAGCAATAAGAGATAATTTGAACAATGAAAGACATGTTTGTATTTATTATCGGAAAGGTGAGAAAGCCTTTGTAAGTTGAACAGAGTGTCTGTCAAATTTTGACAGTTCTAAAATACTGTTTACCATATATTTTTTGTGATCTTTATTGTTAGAAGAAGTTAGCGTGTTGTTTTTCCACACTCATTATCGCACCTGATAAAAAAAAGAAGAAGGCTGTATAATGAGAGACTATGCACATGTGATCAAGTAGTATGAAAAGAAATTTTTGAATTTACTTGTTGACTAATCAAAAGATTGAACTTTACAATGTAAAAGTTAAGACATAGTATAGTCAATTTATTTTTCTAGATGACTACTGTTTATTATACACCTTGTGAACTTATTTTAAAAATTGGTAGTAATGAATGTGATGAAATTTCTACCTCAATCAGTAGTCTTCTTCGTACATGTTCAATAAGTGAACAATCATTTTTTGTTGTTGAACGTCAAATACAACCAACAACATATTATGGTTCATTTACAAATCAATCGACATCATCAACATCAATACCAATTCAATCACAATCATTAAGTTGTGTTCTTCTTCTAACTGATGATATTCTTAAACAACAACAACTTGTTCGTCCATTACAATTATCTATAAAAACAAAAAATTCATCTATTATTTTACCAAAATCGAAACATTTTTTTAAATCAACAAATACATGGAATTTTCATCATAAAATTGAATTATTAGATGAAAATAAACGAGCTATAGCAAGACAAGATTATTATGAATTATCTTATTTTTTACCATTATGGTCTGTATCACACATTCCTAATAGTCGACAACCTATTGTACGTTTTAATATATTTACACAACATTTTGATACAATGTTAACATTTTATACGCGTTTATTTCAACGTAAACCTGATTCAAGTAAACCAGGTTTTGTACTTTTTATTCTACCAACATCGCCACATGTTAAAATAATCTATCAATTTTCAATAAAATATTCTCCATCAATTCAACCATATAGTATTGCTCAAAGTGCATATTTTAAATTTCGATTAAATAATTTAGATCATTTTATAAATGAATATTCAAGTAAATTATTTACATTAAATAAATTTGAATATTATATTTATGATCCCGATGGAAATCTTCTTCATTTACATTTATATGATTTATCAAATATAAAATATTTCGAAGAAACAAATCATTTAAAAACATTAATTCATGCAAATGATAGTGGGGTTGGTGATAGTAGTGATCCACCACCAACACAATTATTTAGTTCAACTGTACCTCAAGGATATAGACCATTTTATTCAAATAATAATAATAATGAAAAACAACAACAACTACTAATAGTGAACGCAGATATTGATGTTCAAAGTCATTCATCTCAATCATCACATGATTCAGGTCGTTGGAGTTCATTATCATCAAATGAATTAAATACAAATAATCGTACTAAACGAACAGTTCAACATATTCCAATTACAATTGTGAACAGTACATCAGTATTAGCAGCAGCAGCAGCAAAAAGAAGTGAAGATCATCTTGAAGAAGCTATTCGAAATTATAGATTAAAACATCAACAACAAAGAACAGGTTTTAATTCATTGTTTTTTTTCTCTCTAAAATAACAGAGCATATAAACAGATTTTTTTTACATCAGAGACTAAAATCAATGAGGTTTACAACATAGAAATTAGTTATTTATCTGATATTGGATCCTATCGATTCGTGTTCAAAATTGAGTTAAGATGAATGGAATGTATAAATTGCCATTTATAAATTTAATCGATTTTTTTATTAGAAAAAAAAAGATTTAATTTATGTAGAAACCAAAAGAAAAAAATATATATCAAGTGTCACTTATCGAATATATTTTATTAGAAATGTGAGACTTTGTTTAAAAATTTTTTGACAAAACAATATCTACTCTGAGTTCAAATATAAAATACTTCTCCCTTATACGTAATAATATACTATTAAATAGATCTATTGTCTAGTTAAATTTCAATCAACATCTTTTCTTTCTTTTTTAAAAGTACTATCTAGTATTGGTATAAAACAAAAAGATCAAATGAAATCTTCAATATATGAAAGTGAACCACGTTTATCAACTGTAACATGCGTAAATAATCGGTATTATTCATCAATGAATGATGTTAAAATCAAAAATCAAATTCATTCTTTTGCAACTAATCATAAAAAACCAATAAATTCACATCATTTTCAAACTATAATCGATAACGATTGTGATATTTCATATGAAGTTGATTCGCCACGTACACAAACTGAAATATCAACGTTTGGTTATCTTAATGCATTTTTATTAAAAAAACGTCAACAACAAGAACAATTTAATAATGCATCAAGTGTTCAGCAATTAATTGCTCAATTTGAAAAACCAAATCCAATGTTAATAGCACAACGACCATTATCTGCTCCGTTAGTTGATCATCAAACAATAAAACCTACGAAAGGTATTTTACAACGACGTATTCATGGTACAATAACACCTCTACCAAATAAATCCTTACGAAAACGTTCAAAATCTGTTACATTTGAATGTCATAGAGATGATAATCATACATCAAGTACAGATGATGATAAAACGAAAAATCTTAGCGATTATTCACGAAGTCCACGAATTAATATTGGTATAACATTAGATTCACGTTTAAGAAAAACACCTGTACTTGATATGTTAAGAAGTACAACTATGGAATCAGATTTTCTTAATCTAAAACAATTAAATAGAACAACATCATTAAGACAACCACTTTTGCCAATGGCTCGTTTTTAAAATATTTTGTTTTCTTCTTTTCTCTCCCTCTCTCTCTCTCTTTTTGTTGTAAATAATAAAAATTCAAACGATGATCTGATAATAAATTTAATAGTTTTCAATTTTTTGTTCAGTATATTTCTTTGGTAATTATATCGAATGGAAATATTGACAAGACGAAAAAAAACTCTTGTTTAATAGCTTATTACTCAAATAACATATTTTTATGATTTATATCTTTTCATTGAACTGGATATTATATTGTTGAGAAATACTTCAGACTGTCCAGTAGTAATTACTTGGGCTATAAACTTCTCAATAACATTGATAACAAGTCAGATATCACTTTCATATCTTTCTTCAATTCTGTCCTCTATTGTTCGAATTGGAATAGATACGACAGAATGAGTCTGATGGTTTTCAATCTCCATCATAGAAACTAATTACATAGAATTCGTTCGTTAGAGTTATTAATCATTTTATGGTTGAAATTCCAACAGGATCTTATCGACTAGTTAGATTCTATTGAACTGATATCTAATTTACTCACCGGGATTATATACAACAATACAAATAGTTAGTGTAATTTCATTGATATCTTCTAAACTCTATGTATCCATTATTGCAGACTACATCTACAATATTTTAATTACTTCTAATGAAGAGGAGAATCACGACTATGGTCTCATTCAAAAATTCAATGTTTAAAATAATATACAATATATTATAAAATTTCATGAGAGAGTTATTTTTTTGTATCGTATTATTATAATTCAGATTAATAAATATGTACTACTAATTCTGTAATTTTTATCTTATCATCATGCTTCAATTGTTATTGAAAACAAGAACAACAGTCTATATAAAAGAAACAAAAACAGATTGTAGAAATTTGTTGAATATATTATTTTATTTAGAAAGATTTTTTAGAATAATATATGAAAAGATTTGAATTTATATAATCTGCATTGAATACCATTGATAAAAGCAATTTTATCGACAACATCGATTGTATTAAAACAAAGTTATAAAAATGATTTTGATATAGACAAATCAATTATTATTATCATAAATACAAAAAACTGTAATACACAAATAAAATATGTTTCAATGTTATATAGTGTACTTGTCGGAGCATTCTCTAAATATCTTTCATAGATTATATTGCGTTGTTATTCAAATAGACAAGAAATATCATTCTAATTTTCGCTGTTGTATATTTAATATTCTTATTACGAAATAACATTTTATCTACGTATAAGATCTTTACTAGCTTTATTTATATGAATTCGTAATGAAACTAGTATATAGTTATGATATAGATATTTTATCCTTTCAAAATAGAAATTCATGAATAGAATTAATTTTCAAGAATCATAATAGAATCATTTTTCCTACCAGTAATTATGTTTACAGAAAAACTATGCTTGTCATAGTGTCTTAAAAGCTCATTTTTATAATTATTACCTATGAAAAACTAATGAAAATGACGTTTTTTTTTGTAATTTTTAAAAACATGATTATACACATCAAAAAATGAATATATAATGCATTAGTCATAAAAATCTCTACAAATCATATATATAAAACATAAACTAATGAATTTCTATTCACTATTTTTTTATTCCGTATTTCATATTTAATATTTCTTTTATATATTTCCTTCCTACGAAATTAGTGAAGCGCTAGTAAAATGAAGATAATATCTATGTGTTAAATTTTACCTTATTATTATTTTTATACGATCTAAATATAGATATAAAATCATAGCAGTTACGAAACAATATTAAAGAAAGTTCAGAAAATTATAGATTAATAAAAAAAGCGATAGTTTTCTTATAATTATATCAAATATCAAAATGAGAAGTAAGTTGTTAAATACATTCTTTTTCTATATAATAACAACTTAATTAACTAAAAGTATCGTATGAGTTTTTTCTTTAATAAAAAAAACCCTCATATGATCAATTCATTGAATTTCAGGTGCATTTTGAACTTAACAATAATTATGCGCATTAAAAATGACTTTTTTTTCTTCTTTGACATTAAATTTCTATCGAAATCCTCTATTCTTATTAAATATCTATGTGTTATTCCTTAAAAATAAAAAGGTTTATTAAAAATGAAATTTAGTTGATCAAGAATAAATACTCAATCATTATATTTCACGATAAAATTGATATTAACGTTTTTTTTCTTTTGTATATTATATTAACAAAAAAGATAGAGAAGAATAAAGAAGTATTTGTATGTTATTTTTCATAAGTTGTCTATTTTGTTTCAAAATAAACACAAAGAAGCAAAAAATTAAGAATACAAAAGGCACTCAAAATGACAATGACGATAATAAAGACAAAGCAAGAGAAAATGTTTTGTGAAGATGATGCACAAAAAAGAGATAAGGAAGAAAAGAAAAACACGAGTAAAATAGAGATATAAGAAAAGAATTAGATGAAGAATGACTAGCGATCCGACTAGCAGTTTATTTTTGTCGCGTATTAGGAGACTAATAACTCCAATAAATGTTCGGTTGCTAATATTGTATATTTTTTTATTTTTATTTTGATCACCGGACGCGAAAATCATTGGTATTCAAAATGTGATCTTTGCGCTAGACATTTGCTTTTGGTGCATGTTAAAGAAATAAAAAGGAAGAGGAACAAACGGACGGAGAAGCCCAGTAGCATTCAAAAGAGAATATAAGAGAGAAAAAGAGCGAGCAAAACCTAGAGAAACATGTTATTTTTCGTTACCAGTTAATGCTCGATTTGTGCGTGAGACAATTATATTAATCAGTCGTCCAAAAGATTTTTGTCGATTATCTGTCCATTTGTCTTTTAAACCAAATTCCATTGTATGATTAAGACCATCTACAATAGCCTAATTAAATTAAGAAAAGAAAAGAAATTTAATTAAAAATATATTATAAAAATTTATACTTGAATATGTTCTGTTTTAACTTCATAACCTTTATGTCGAATACCAATATCATGTAACATTTTAAATAATTCTTCAGGTTTGTCAACAACACTAATTAGATCGTCTAGGGAATTAAAAAATTTTGAACCATGATTACGTAGATCCATTTTCCAACGATTCGCTGTATTAGGAGCATCAGCATCATCACCACCAGCAGTTGTGGTTGCTGCATTTGTATTATTCATTACATGGGGATTTTGCCATAGTGCTTTTATATCTGGACATTTTTGGAAAATCCTAAAGAAATAAAACCTTTTATTTTTCATTCAGTTAAAAAAGAAAAAGAACTTTTTAACTAGACTAAATCAAAACAAGCAACTATATATGGGCAATTTATATATCATTTATATAATCTATCACCCTAGGCAGCAACCGATTGACCTTTCGTTTCTCTGTCAATCATGTTGTATTATGATTTATTTTATTTGCAGATAATATGAATCAATTATAAATCTGAATATAATCGTTTACGTCTGTGTTTATCTAAGTTTTCTCTTGTCTCGTCCTTGCTGTTAGGTTAGTTGTAGTATTATCGAGTAAGACTTTTCAAAAATAGAATACAATGAGAAAGAAAAAAAAGAATACAACTACCTATGTTCGATAGTGCGCGAAATGTGAATTAATCTGCATGATATTAGCTGACAGCTGTTGCATATGACGTACATACGTTCGTCATATATACATATATATCTATAAATAATAGGACAAGTATCGATCGAGCTAGTCAAGCAGATAGTATTGATTGTGACTAGATCGTTGTAACTGATGTGACGAGTGGTATGTTCATTGAATATGCACAAGTGCTATGCAAATAGACCGATGAAACGAATATAAAGTGCTCTGCATAGCTAACTATCAACTATTTCCTTCTTATCATCATTAGAAGAATGAAATGACAAATATAAAAGAAAATCGATTGAACATATGTCGCGTGTTTCATATAAATCAGTTGCTTGTTTCTACTGTTATTATTATTAATATGAGTTTTTTTCTTCTTCTCTTTATTCTTCAATTTGTTGTTGATGATAGTGAATGTTATTATTTTCATTTTTAGATGTCATAACGACAAGAATAAGAACGAGAAAAATACAAAGAAAAGAACGAAAGAAAAAGTAGAAAATAAACATAAATACATTAATGTTCTAGTTTCTACTCGTGACGATAGATAAGAAATAATCATTGATCTATTCTTTTACTATTCTGTACTTTCAATCATAGAACTACAATAAGAGATAAATAATAGTAGAAGCAGATGGTAGCTTGTTAAACAATTGTTTTTTATATTCTCAATAAACTAATCTAATTCATTGCTGAAGATATTCTTATTAAATAACCTACCTCAGCATGAGCCGTTGGCCGTATTCACCATAAGCTTCTCTGCCTACCATTTTCCATGTTTCTCTAATGATTCTTGCATCGTCAGGTGTTAATGCTTCTGGCTCAATTTTAGCCTGACTGCAACCCATAATCTTTGTATTATGATAATTATTTTCTGTATATTTTTCTGTTTGTTTACAAGCTCACACTTGTGGTTGAATGAGAATGACGAAAAAGTAGAAAAAAAGACATTGTCTAATTGACATTCATCGGTAGTTGTATAAAGAATCCACGTTGACTTGGAAAGAGAATATTGATACGCGTTTTTTTTAAGGGAAAATAAAGAAGAGACACATAGGAATCGTGAATGACAGAAGGACTAGTAACAGCAGTTGTAGTGGTATGACTGGAGCATCGAGAACGATGAAAACGACGAGAAGACGACAGCAGCAATGTCGACGATCGGGAAAGCAGCAGGCTCGAACGAGACAAAGTGATGATGATTAAACGACGGAACCAGCGACGGTGGCGGCGAATCGCTCTTGTTGTTACTGCTATTGTTGTTGTGTGTTGTCATCCTCCTACAGTAATGGTGGTGCACCACCGCAAAAAGAAAGAAAGAGAGTGAGAAAAAAATTCGGTATGTCAATGAAGAAAAATAGAGAGATGTACGTTAGTCTCTTCAAATCAGAAGTAATGTAAGCGGCAACAAAACACAGAACTAAGTGCTTGTCCACATGCACACACACACACGTATATATATATATATATACATTATAATCATTTCTCTTTATCATAATGATGATCATCATTAAACATCAACTCAAGTAAAAAGTCACAAACAGTCGGCTACACCCGACATGCGTCGTTATGTAATGGAAGTCATCGAAAAATTAGTGTATTATAAGATATTTCTTCTTTTTTTTTTAGTTATTTATCTGTCTATTTGACATGGACACTCTCTCGCGTGTATCTCATGAAAACACTTAGAAGTAATTTACATTAAGATATATATAAATATATAGACTCTCATGCAAGAGTGAGCTCATAACTAACGTCTACATTACAAAAAATATGCTTCATTGATTAGCAAAAAGAATGAAAAAAAAAAGAGAAAGAAGTCAGAAGAAGAAAGTCTGAAAGTTGACTAGTAAGATTGTACATCGGTTATATATATATATATATATTATTTTCTAATTTGTTTTATCTTATTCAATATTTAATCATTATTTTCTTCTATCAATAGGAGAAGTCTCTAAAGAAAACTATCTGCTTTTGAAACAAAAAGTCATGTTAATCAAGAAAATAAAAAAAATTAGCTGATTAATAATACTAATAATAGTAATAATACATCATTAAAGTTCAATATATATCTAATATTTATCGACTTTTTCCTTTCTCAAATAAAAGAAACGATATTTACTAATCAAGATAAGTCGTGAATGAGTACAACAAATAGATATTAAAGAAAAAGAGTAAATAGAAGGAAAACGAGTGCTAAATTATCGGATTTAGAAGAGAAGAATTGTTACAAGATGCATTTTAAGAAGGGAGGAGGAAGCAGATCGATTATGTTCGACCAACCGACAGGATCTCATTTATTTAAGAGTCTACTTGACATGCTCTCTGATTTTTCTCTTTCTCTATAACGAAATAACTAAGCTTATTGTTAACTCAGTCAGTACCACAAATCTAGTCAGTTTTGATGTGATACTTACAATAGGTGTGTGCGAATAAAACATCTAGTGAAATACACACAATCATTATGCTATATCTCCACTCTTTTTTTTCTCGTTCTCATTCGTCTTTTTTTTTGTAGCCGTTCTTTTTTTTCTCGTCTTCTTTTCCGTGCTTGTCCTTCTATGTGCTTCTGGCGCCGGCTCACTCTATTTAATAAGACATTTGTTCACATGAGTCTGCTTGTCGGCTACATACAGCTTGCATTTTTCTCTCTTGTTCGCTTCATCTCTTCTTGCGTTTTTCTCACTACAATAAACCGAGAGACGCACAAAAAAAGAGAAAAAAAGTGGCAAGAATGACGTGCTCTCGTTTTGCTGAACTAGTTAGACGAGTATGAATTCTGTGATTTTCATCTTCCTCCATACACAGAATCCATAGAGAGAAGGAGAGAGAGAGAATTATCTTTTTTAGTCTGACTGTCTCTTCTCATTTCCCATCATCATCATAATTAACAGTGTTTCTCTTTCGTTATAATTTTCTATTTTTTTTCCTATTCTTTTCTATCACAAGGACTACTATTTCTACTATTACATCTACAAATCTGTTAATAGATTTTTAAAACGGACAAGCATTGTTATTCTGTTTACTAGCGAACAAACAAGCAAGCAAAAGATAAATGAGATGCGCATTGTCTCTTTTTTTTCTTACTAATTCTTTTTTTTTCTGTTGCGCGTTTAGACATGTTTTTAAGCAGACGGATGAAAAATTAGTCTGGGAATGTCTTGATATTCTTGTTCTCAGAAAATACGATGATGATGATGATGTTTTGAATGTATGTTGCAGTTGTAATTGAATTGAAAGACTACATTCTCGTCAGAAGAAAATATATGAACATTGCCGACAGATGAAATATAGTATCGACGGAAACAAAAAAAAAACGCTTTAATCAAATTGATCTTCTCAACAACTAAATAGAGATTTTCAATATTACTATTTATTTTCTAACTAATTCTCTTCTAGAATTTCGTACAATATTTACTTAGAAAATAATAAATAGTTATAAAATACAAAATTGAGAATAAATTGCTTTGTATTCATATACAACGAATCTAATAATAGAAGTATTTCAGCCATCAAAGTCTAATTGAATGTTCAGGTTGACGGATAATGGAAAAAAACTTATCTTCTTCAAAAACTACCTTCGCATGCTGTTTATGAAATTATCAGAAAAAGAAGAAGAAGAAGAAGAAGAAGAAGAAAGTACGTTATGCCAATGCAGGCAAACAACGAAGAAAATAATTTTATAATTAAAAAATTTTTTTCTCATGTAAGTTTTTACGGTCAAAGACGATAAAATAAATTTTAATAAAGAACTACAAAAGAAAAAGATGATATGCGAGCTGGAACTAATTTAATACTATTACGGTGGAATGCAAGACTTGTCAGTTTAATCATTTATAAATCATGAAGAAAGTTAACCGATTAAAATATCAATTTTATAAATTATAAGATAACAATAATAGTAATAAATTTGTAGAAAATATAATACAATTCAATATTGTGCATGCAGATAACTATTTCGTGATTCATTTAAAATATCATTAATGCTGTTCGCTATTCAAAATAGTTAACTTTTTTTCTAAAATTCAGAAATTGTAAATGTAATGATACAAATTACATTTAATTCGTATAGATGTCTTTTCTAAATAAAAAGAATAATCACATATTCATTTTTCTTGATTTTCTCAAAATAAAATGAAGATATTTTACGGAATTTCTTCAATGATAAGAAAACGTATAGACTATAAACGGGTATTTTATTTATAATACTCAGATTTGTTTTCACGTTAACATTTTTCAATATGATCTATTCTATTGAAATATGAGAATGAATTGACATGTGAGTAATAATGATGATTCTCTCAATTTCTATATATAAATAAGACATCTAATGATAAAGTTATCATTAATTATTTTAGTAATATTTTATGTCATATTTGAGTATTAATTAAGAATAGAGTAAATGATATTTGTTTTGAATAACGATACATATGTTACTATGGCTTTAGAAGGCAGTTAACATAATGTATCTTTTTTTGAAAGTTTTAAAATATTTTTCTATTATAAAAAAAAGTTTAATCCATTGAGATATGATCTATGATATTAAATGGCAATTTAAAATAATGTTAAAATAATCTCCAATATTTAAATTGTAAAAATGAACTTTAACAATATTATTTACATAAAGTCATGAGTTATCTTTTATTAATAAACAATTTTATTCTTCATCATAAGATTGTTTACTTAATTTTTCTTTCAAAGCAATTCGATCAAGACCATTGAGTTGACCGCATGCGATGCATATTTCAATCGATAAACCGTCTGAATCACAGAGACCAGCAATATTTGGTAAATAACCATTTGATTCTTGACCATTAGGATAGATAATATAATTTCCATCACATGCTCGGCTTATGATTTGTACTAAAGAATTAGCAGTATTACAGTTTGAGCATTGTTTAGCCATTTTTACTTTCGTATATTATTTATTATCAAGTAAAAAGGTGTTTTGTGGTAGAACTTTATAATAAAAACGCAGTAATGTTATCAAGATGTTGCAGAAGATTGTGAATATACATAATAACGGTGTAATTTAAAGAGAGACGCCATTAGTCTGCTTGTGAGTACCTCTATGATATTCGAATAGGAAAAAGAAATACTTTAAATGACTTTTAATGAAACATAGTATTATGAAAAAGTACTATTTACAAGATTTTATGCAGAATACTATGCATATGTATACGTATTTTCATATCTGTATGCGTTTTAAATGAAAAGCTTTTTAAAGTTATATTGCGCACCATCTATCTATATTCTTATTTATCGTTAAATATCGTACGTCCAATCCATACCCTAACTGAATCGTAAATTTCACTTTTTTCTAATATTTATTACATACAATTACTAAGTATCAGATATGTTCTGCTATGTATCTCAATAGACACTTTCTCATGTTTACAATGTTGAATACAGCTCTTTCATTGCTTTAGAACTTGAACTATCACTTGAAAAAAGTTGCAATTAGCTCTGACCGTATTATGAAATTGACAAGTATACAATGATATTATTAGAAAAATATTTTACAGGACTCACTTTTGAATTAATAGAATATCAATTCAAATTCCAAATACTTAATAATCATACTAGAATTTTTTTAACTCTTCAAAAACTTTCAGGTTTTAGTCAGCGCACTCAAACCATCTATGATAGGTACATTGATTGTTTTGACTTAGTTTTCGAGTTTGATTATTAATTAAAGAGGGCGTCACAAAAGAAACGAACATCATAATAAAAATTTGCAGTGCCATCTAACATAATATGTTGTAGCAATTAAAGTCGAGTTGTTTTAAATAAAAATCATCAATTCTAGCATAGATAAAATAGTTTCGATAAAAGAATCCTTAGAAAACTGCTTAAAAAAGTGTAAACCAACTGATTCAATCAGTACTTTTTTAATCCTTTCAATACCGACATGTTCTTGCGTTCTACACGAGCATGAAGAAAAATAGTTCAATATCTCTCTCTTTCGTTCTATGTTCATATTTAGCTGGGTTTAAAGTCTAGCGTTATTATTTCTCTATATATGAAAAGATGATATGAGTTTTGATACGTAACTATTGATTTCATATTGGATATATACAAAATAGTCTAAACGTAGGTCAAGAACGATTCCGTTTCTCTCTTTCTGGATTTCTTGTACTTCTTCTTATTTATATTCTCTTGTTAATTCTATCTCGACTAAGTAAATTATATTAAAATCTGTTTCAGATATCGTTGTTGAAAGTGTCTTGAAAGAGATGAGAATTTAATTCAAGTAATCATAGTCAAGGTGATCATAATTTAATTAAATAGCAATAATCACCAACAACAGATAATGGATCAAGTATTATTAAATAAACATTAGTATTAAGAGATATTTAACTTAGTCGTTCAGAAATTCGTTATCATCTATGTTACTGATACTGACTCGTTCAATCGTTTGTCTAATGACTTTACCATGATATTCCGATCAAATGATCACGTAACAGCAAAATTATATGTCTCTTGGCCAATTGTAAGGATGAAAAGTACAGAAAAAATTGCTTTCGTTAAGAAAACAGTATGAGAATTTTAGAAAATCGAATAATAGATAAATTAGAAGATATTGGTCTTAACGTTGTGAATGATATTCAATTAACTAGCGAAGATGGATGAAAACAATCCAACCAAGATAATTAAACTTATTTTTAATGATCCTTCAAATAGATTTTTAATTTGATTCAATACATTTTAATGCTATATTCGCAATGCAGAACGTTAAATCAGTACTATACTTTATGTGATTTAAATACAATCATGTAATTAAATACTGCAAAACTGAATAAAGTATGTACCCAACTTGAAAAAAATCATTATATCAACTAGTGTACTAGTTCACATAATATATGAAACGCTGAAACCGCAAAGGCAAACATTTAACTACTTCGTCAAAAGTGTATCAATTTTAAAAGCCACAAAAAAAGAATGTAAGAATTAATCTATCAATATGCATCATCAAGTAAACACATTGAAATAGTTATATCTTTTCATAGCCTCGATAGATCTATATTATTATTAAATAACTCTCACTGCGAAGAAGATTATCTACAGGATAAAATTATAGATATCTTCGCTTTCAAAACGGAAACAATCATTGAAGAAACATTAAAGTACAAAAAACAAAAAAATATATATTATCAATGGGGAATGCATATTCATTAAAATTTCAGATTATTCAGCATCCGATTTACATAAAGAAATTCCAATATTAAATGACAGCAGAAAACAAAAACTACTCGCTTGTTACATCAGATGAAATATCAACAAAACAGCTAACCAAAGGCAATAACCATGATTAAAATATGCCACATTAATATCGCAAACTTTCACAAACATAAAGATGAACTGCGCGCCAGATTATCTCATTATGACGCCATTTTTATAAATGAAACTAACCTTATGGCACATAGATCTAGCAGTAGTGTACTACTAGCAATTTAAAATCATACTCGATATTCAGAAATACTTAATAAAAAGATCAAGTAGAATGAATTATTAGCAGTCCAAATTAAAATAGTGAAATTCATTTTGATTGTCTCCATATACACACCGCCAAAATTTCAAATTACATATTAACATCTTTCAAGAACTATGTAGTATAAACAATATTATATTAAAATGGACCATATTAATGTAGCATGATATCAGATGCTATCAACGAAGGCAAATGCAAAAGGAAGATAGCTGCAAGAATTTTTTAACGACGGTCTATTAAATTGTGTCGAGAATAATAGTGCAACTTTTGAGAGAAATGAATATGAAAACAAAACTGACTGAATAGTCAGTAGTTAACTTTTATCATATATTATAAGAAAATATTCTTGTATTAACCTCAACATCAACCACATATGATACGAGGCGAATAATTAAACAAATTAAAATATGAAAGCTTATTGTAAATGGAAAAAAATAAATGTGTTCTCGAATAGAAGCTCTACTGTTATAAAAAAAAACAGGTACTATTAGCATATATATTAAGAAAGAGCAAAAGCAAAGAAATTTCGATACATTAACGCCGCAGTTATGTCAAAAGAAAATATATTAAGCATTAGTATGGATTACAATTTGTAAATGTCATAACAAAAGAATAAAAGGATATAATAAAAAAAGATACACGGATTTACAATAATACAACAACAATATCTAGCAATTAGAAAACAAACTTATCTGCGGATTATTTTCAAAATGAAGTTAACAATCACTCATCTGATGCAATATGTTTTCATAAACAACTGACAAGATAGGCCCACTTCGGAATGACTCCTATGGTCCTGACAATGCTTATAGCCGGTGCTTAAAACATCATATGAAATTACTTGTTCATTATATTACTCAGCTCAGTAGTCTAGGAAGGAGCTTAGGATATGTTTCCGTAATGTATGGAAAATGGCTCATATAATCCTCTTATTAAAACCAAAGAAAAGCAAGCAGCAATTTGATAGTTATTAACATACTAGGATTCTTTGTTGCATTTATAAACTATTGAAGATAATGCAACAAAGATTAGCAGTTAAATTCGAAAGAAATAATATTCTATTTAACTGTCAAGCTTACTGTTATTCTGAAAAAAATACAACATACAATATCGTCAAGTTAGATAGATACGCTCAAGATCAACTGCGGCAAAGATGTCATGCAACTGTTATCTTATTTAGCATCAAAGTTGCACTGGACTCAGTCTGATACGATGGTATAATATACAAACTGTTTAGTTTTCATCTCCCATACTGTATGGTGAAGTACCTTAGATCCTTCTCAAAAACAGTAAAACTGCTGAAATTCAATTTAACTAATGGTATATTCTCAAGATTCTACTCTCTCATCACTGCTATCTATTATTTAAATATTTGGTTGAATAAACAGAATAGAAATTTTGCAAATCATCGTTTCATTACAAATGACACAACTCTATGAACTACATCGAACATAACCTTTAGTAGTAGCTCTGAGCTACAACAATCCATAGACGCATTCGATACTTGGTGTAAAGCTCGAAAACTTCCACTATATCTAACTGAAAAGGAACACATGTATTTCAGTTCACATCCAAACAAGATCACAAAAACACTGCATCAACCAAAGCCGAAAGCATAACAATAAAAACCATGAAACAATAAAATACTTGCTTATACTACAAGTTGAATTTATCTTAGCTAGTCATATTATATTTTCTTAGTATAATGTTCATATTCTTATTCTGATCTTTACCACTACCTTTTCATAACTTGGTAAAGTACTAATTAAAAAAATATTCAGGTGGTCTTAAAAATATGCCTCCAAAAACGGAAGGAACTAAAGGAAATAAACCAGATGAAAATCAAATTAATACAATCAATTCACAATAATCATCAACAACAAAGATAAATCTAGCAAAGCAGTCAAATTTTAGCATCGCATCTTTAGTACTAGATGGTGTGAAATTCAACAAACTTCAAGTAAACATCATCATCAAACAACATCTAACCGACATTCGGATTTCTGATATACAACTCGGTCGAACAGGTGTATTCACAATATATGCAATTGATATTAACTCATTCAACCATTTCTTAAATGAATTTAGCACAATATTAGCAGCTAGTGGTCCTACATCATCCAAGATGGGTATGAATATGTAATTAATACAGTGCCTACACCCACACCACCGTATGGGTAAATGCTTCGATATTGACAAAAGACAACTAAGTTTTACACCTATCAATGGATTTAGCATGAATATCCTGTGGCTACACCATTTACTGAAATATGCTCACCTAAAGAGAAATGAAATCAATATCTGTCTGATAGACGTATCGAAGGCCTTTAATTCAGTTTCGCACAAAAGAATTTTCCGGGCTCTCTACATGTGCAGAGCTGTATTATCTTTCATTGAATTGGTATGCAATCATTACACAAATAGCCTCATCTTCATGGCCTACAAAAATCTGTGCTTAAAGAAGTTCAAAATACTGTGACGTGTCAAACAAGGTGACTCTTTATCACCACTTCTATTTAACCTGGTCATTGATGAACTATTCGACATACTCAAACATCAAATGTTTCGCTGACGATACATGTCTTATATCCGATTCGAAAGTCGGCGTAGGCCGTATAATAAAAGAAACTGTGAACTCTCTCAAGGAATGGGATCTACAAGCCAACGTTAAGAAGTACATGTTCAGAAAAAAATACGGGAAAATAAGTCCTGGTAAGTTTTGTTATTTTTATCGAGATAATATTTCTAAATTAAAAATATTTTAGAGGATAGCATCATCATCATCATCATAAAAGAAATAAACCAGAAATTAAATCTTGAACAACATCAGATTTATGGTTTTTTGAAGAATATGCCATATAAAACTGATGTTTGATCATTAGACTTAAATCAAAAGTACATTATAGATATTTTTTCAAGTATATATGAAAATAGTTATTTGAATAAGTGTTAAGGATTATGTAATATTTTTTTAATTACAAAAAAAATAAAGAATAAAATATTGAGAGCAGATAAATACACAATAAATAACTAGTAAAAATGTAAGTCTTGTTTGAATATCAATTGTTCTAGAAGACTGCATTTTAATTGGTATCATTATTGATAAAAGCGACGTTGAGGTGCTGGATTCGGGTAATATCTAACACCATAGTTTGCCATAGACGCAGTAGCAGTTCGATTGACTGAATGGGTTAGTCCTGTTCTTAATTTCCCGTTATGATCTATATCTTTGGTTTCAGCTGTAATACCACCACTAGCATTGCTGTTATTTCCACTTGTAATACCACCACTAGCATTGCTGTTATTTCCACTTGTAATACCACCACTAGCATTGCTGTTATTTCCACTTGTAATACCACCACTACCCAGATCGATGACTCTGAGCGCCGTATCCAGCATCATGTAAGGCATGAAACGACTAAAAAACAGTTAAATTCGTGCAGGAATCGGGCATGAACGAATGTCGTTTCTCACCGTAATCCATAAATTCAGATTTATATATGTAGTTTTTTTTATTCAAATTGTGAGACCAGTAATTCGATTAAACAATGTTGCTTGATTCATTGTAAAGTAAATATATAATTTTCGTATTACTGTATAGAAGTACAATTCAATTTGATCACGTTATATTGCATTACTTTGGTGAATACTGTATTTGTTTTTTTCATATTATACGTGAGTGTATGATGCGATGTCGAAATGAATCAAGAACATGCAGCTGTATGGCATAAAGTGGGAGATACCGACGAAGAGAAATGAGAAATGTAAGGAGACAGTCTTGTGTTCTTTTCTTTTTGTTTTTTATTTTGTTCTGTATTATAAGATATATACCATGTGCAGTTTTGTTTCTGTTTAGTAAACGACAGGATATTTTTCCTATCAAGTTTAATAAATATATTTTGAAATTGCTTTATTAGCGTGTTGTGTGTCATAAAATT